GTAAGTGGGCGGAGTCCAAAACGAGGGGGTGGTTCGCGGAAGACTTCCGGCGTATTTCTAACTAAATGCGGACCTGGAAAGCTTTGGAAAAGGCTCACTTTTGCCGTTTTAATGCGCGGAAAAACTGGAGAACAAAATTCTGCCGAAACACTGCCTTCAAATGAGCTTAGGCTAAGCTCAGTTAAACAGCAACACAGTCAAAAAAGCCATCAAGGGTCACAATGCCTCCCTCGAGCTTCGCAAAGCGATATGAAAAGCTAACACATTAGTTTGGAAAGATTCTTGAGTAAAGGTCGGATAGCCCTCAACTAGTAGTAGGACTGAACTTTAAAACTGCAGTATCCAAGGTAGAGAGCAGTAGGCTTATCTCCAAACGAAGTCATGCACTCCAGGATATGTCAAATCAATACAATGATGAGCCCCTAAATAGGCAACTATGAACCACCTAATATAAAAGCAGATTTCATTTCAATGCACACGCCAATTTAATTTCAGTGGATGAGAGCAATAGAGTTTTCTTTCTTATTATGCAACAAAACTGGGCAGAAAATCAATATCCATAAAAGTGCATCATAGTAAACAAATCCTTTCACATTCTCAATGCGAAAACAAGACTCAAAAACAAGGAATCAGAGGTGACCGAAAAAGATGAAAATAACTGAGAGGGAGGAGTTCCATCTGTCATTGCAGTAAAACAAATTACCCTCCCCTCTCTCAAATAGCCACTAATCAATCATTGATTGGAAGGACTCTCTGTTTTTTTTTTCAGCAACTGCTACTGGTTTCAAAGAGCATTATGGAAACGAAATTGATGAGCTGGCTTTACGGAAGCTCATTATTGAGACTCTTTGATCTTTCACTCTTCCTTGTATATTTATTTCCTAATTGGAAAAAAGTCATGCTTCTAGGTACATACGAACAAATAATGAATCTGACTAAATGATGGGAGTACAAGAAGTATAGCTGGTTATTTAGGTTAAAGCACAACAAAAGTAGAACTTGGCATAGGTGTGGGACCAAAGTGACAAAGAGAACATCAAATTAGTGAAAAATTCAGCTGTGAGCAAGAGAAACCGATGGCACGAGACAACATTACGCTGGGGATTTGAATTTCACTGTTACGGCAGACGCGCCTTGTGCGACGCAAATATGCACACTCCACTTTCATAGTCTTCTATGACATTCAGAGCCACTTCACAATGGAAGTCATTTATAATAGAATTATTACGTCCACCTTTACGTAAACTCCTCATATTTTATTTTTTAAATCAACTTTTGGGAAAAAAGAATACTACTGGCGGAGGGGATTTTGTGTTTTGCTGGCTTTTTTGGAATTTCGGAAGATTGTGCCAAATCATTCGAAAGATATTCGGATAAAAAAATTTTCCAATGTAAAGACCATGCGTTTCGACATTTTTATTTGAAAGCTAATTGCTTTCGACAATTTTTCATGATTTTTCAAAGCCCATCTCGGGATAATGACAACAACCAATTCAATTGAAAGCGCAAAATTGGTGTTACACTTTAGCAAATTTTTTTTGAAAACCTCGAAAGTGTTCCGAACACCTTGAAAGACCCGCAACCTCCCTTTTCAATGATACCGAACTTTTAAAGTTTCATAAAAAATGACCTAATAATTGACAAGAAAAGAGAGATTGAATAGAACAAGACTGATTAATGAGAAAATGTTAGAAAGTGTAAAACAAGATAAACTTCTCTGTGAATAATTAGTATTACAATCACTGAGACCTGCTACTGCAAAGAAGAGAACGAATGCGAGTCTATGGGTGAATCATGTAAAAAGAACAATCATAATAACTATGTCCCAATTGTTCCTGTAAACTTTATCATCAACGCTGACGTTGAGGATTAGTCAGCGCTTCGGCAGCGCTCCAAACAATAACTACTGACTTTTTAACTACTGCCCTGCAATAAAATGAAACCACTAATCAAAAATTTTATTTTCCTTCCTACAGTATTCGCTGGTACTTTTTCTGTACCTACGATTTTATTGGAGTGTGTTGTTTGTCTTCTATTACGCGCATCTTTGAAACACGTAGGAGCAAAAAAATATTTTGAGGTGCAAAGTTTCTTTACTGTTTGTCTGGTGAAAAGAAATCGTAAGCTTTAAACATCCACATCTTGTATCATAAAAGCCGCTACAGAGTGACTAGAGAGCTACAATCTTTCTTACGGAAACGAGGACATGGGTAAGGAATTTCTTGTCTGTGCAAGGTGAATCACGAACGAGTTTGTGACTGCTAATAAAAGTATGCATATATTTCACACCCAGAATGCAAATATTTTATGGGCTAATTGATTTCATCGTTATAGTGCAATTGCTGTGGGAGCAACAGTTGCGCGGAAACAAACCTTATGCTTGTAAAATGCAGGCAACTTGCTTGCGACTTGCGCGGAAATCAACATGATGTGGATACTGCCATAATTTACGCGCAAAAATTATCGCGCAATCTTTTCCCGTCAAATCTGCTTGCTTCAGAATTTTTTTTTTGGCACTCGAAGTTCTGTCGTGAATTATGATGTTCTTTGGACATCTATTGCTTTTCGTGAGATATATCGTTTGAAGATTTATTTATTTATTCTGATACAAGAGACAATAAATACATTATCAAAATGTTGAATGCGAATAATAAATAAGTAATCGATAAGCTCTGATGGATTTGCATTTCTTCTCATTTTCAGACTCGAATCGATCTAACTTTGCTGAAGTTATGTTGTTCTTCGGTCACAGGTCCCAGCCGGACCAAGTCTCCTAGAGGTGGAAGCTGAGGCTCTTGAACACCACGAGCAGCCACGTAAGCTAGCAGATATCTAAACATAGTCATGTTGATAAGAGGAGCAGCGAAGAGAACTGTAGTGGTACTGTACCTTCCGTTTGTCTCCACTTTACAGATGAGATCACCGCGGAAGTGGACTTTTTGCGCAAAATCGTCATAGGAAGCCACTGTTTCAAAGGTTTCGTTGAAGCGGGCTTCGAGACGTTGCTAAAAGATAATTGAATATAAAAATTATTTCAAGGGGGAGGGGGAATTTCCGTCGTTTCAAAAAACATGGATTATAAAATGAAATTCTTAAAACAGGCGCCATATTCGGACAGTGAACCAAACCGCAAGCGTAAACGAGACTCGCTAAACTGCAGACATTTGTCATTGGGTGTTAAGTACAAAAAAATTGTTAACAAACGCAATTTGCACCTTGTCGAATTTCTACATTTGAGGAGAAAGAAGGATTGTTTCTGCGAATTTCGTAGTGCCCGCGCTTTTCGCTTACGTGACGCCACATATCAAATGCGCGTCATTTAGTGCGCCGCATTTGCACATCCAGCTCTAGACTTTGTACAGGCTTACAAAAGTAGTCTGACGCCTGAGTAAGAAACGAACTATGTTTCACATACCTGCAAAGTATTAACAATGGCTTGAACATTGCAAGTATGGAATTTTGGTCGAGCCTCAAGCTCATTGTAGGTGTTTACCATAATGTCATTGAGTTCTTGATTGCAGCAAACGTATCCTAAAATTGGAGAGTCGGTTTCGCTTATAGTGCAGTCATTTGTGATTTAATGTGTGTGATTGCACACCGCACGCGGCATCTCACGACTTCGTAGTGATGAACCGCGATAAGGTGTGATTCAATGTAAGCAGTTGGGGAAGAATTACTCGAAACACATTTGTAAATGATTGTTGAGAGGAGAAAACTGTAAAACATCAAATTTGGCAAATAGCAAGCACATATATCGTAAGATACCCAGCCCTCTGTGCACTGCACACAAACCTGAAGCTGACACGACTATATTCAAGCAAAATTTCGGGGGTCCTTTGAGGTAGACTTGTTTATTTTACCAGGGATTCAATACTGGGTAATTTTCCACTTTCTTGTTTTTAAAATCAACTTTTCGCCCCCCCCCCCGATATTTGATGCCATTTGTCTTTCCGATTTATTGTCCCTATAAACCCGTCAGCGATTTGTAGATGCCTCGATTGTCCGTTTCTCTCGAAATCCAGCGCCATCGGCTAAGAACCTGCACCTACGCGCAATAATGCGATCTTATCCATGAATTCGCCAACGCAGTGGACAGAAAACCGAATGTACTGATGATGATTAGCGTATAAGCTAATTTGCAATGGAACTGTTGTACGAACAGAAACAAATCCAGTTATCTATGCCATGATTTAAGGATTTCATTTTCCTAAGGACAGGTTTTTCAAGAAAATCCTAGGGCACAGAGTTCTGCCCTGCCGCATATGGCCTGTGGAAAAAACATAGAATCATGCATTGTAGAATAAATCACTCTAGCGAATTTTTTGTATTTACGAGACTTATGAATTAACACTTTGAATTATGCTCAAAAAGTTTGTGCAAGATGAGAAAGTTGTCGCTAGTCGTGAGCTTCTACCATGTTGGTTAAAACTCCAATAGCTGGATCTTTAGCGTTTGGTCAAACCTTAAAAAGCTAAGTCTGCCTCATGTCTTCACCAACATTTCAGCTTCCTTATCCAAAAAGACATTTTAGAAAGGCCTTTAAGAGATGCACGCAATAAAATCCCCCCATGACATTCCGCTCAGACACCTTTCACCGGAACTTCCGCAGAACAAGCCAAATTTGCAGCGG